CATTGACATGAAGTGTGTATTGTAGCTAGGGAAAAGTGGAAATGGAAAGATCTCTTAGGAAATTCTCATAGAAGTCCAGACAAGAGGAGTAGGGGATGTGAGAAATGCTGTTGGAGATTGAATCAATAGGAGTTCTAACTAATTAGATTTGAGAAGTGATGAAGAGGGAAGAGTCAAGGATAACCACAAGACTTTGAACATAGGAGAGAGGGTTGAATGATGGTGCCTCCGGCAGAAATAGTCATCAGAAAGAACTGCTTTAGGGGAGAAGATAAAAGAATATGGTTTGGGAGAATATCAGATCATCTTCAGGGTGCTCAGTTCACTTGCAGAGCACAGGTATTTGTGACATACCCAGAGCCCAGCGACTGATCTCATTTTTCTCTGCTCAGATTACCAGCTCACGTCCTCAGGTTGTCTTTGGCCTCTCAATCAGGTGTTCCACCTTTCCTTATTCCCTTTATAGAATGAGCCTTCCCAATATCTCATCATTGTAATTTTGTAATATCAATAATATTTTATTGTTAAAAATTTTTTTGGTAAGGCAGTCAGGGTTAAGTGACTTGCCCATGGTCACGCAGCTAATAAGTGTCAAGTGTTTGAGGCTGCATTTGAACTCAGGTCCCTCTGACTCCAAGGCCAGAGCTCTATCCATTGCACCACCTAGCTGCCCCCTCAAAAATATTTTATACAGTCAATTTCCATCAATAGTAAAAGAAGAATCCTTTCAATTGATAATGTGGACTCTTAAATTCATTCCTCCAGAATGAACTAACAACCGTGGGAAAATGTTATACCTATTTTCTGCTGGAATTACTGTGTCAACTTTACAGTGATACCAGTAAGTCAGTGGGTAGTTGACATAGTCAAGGAATGTGTCTTTTTTTATTAATTAATTTATTTTGAATTATCAACAATCACTTCCATAATCTTTTGAGTTTTAAATTTTTCTCCCCCTCCCTCCCCACCTCCCTCTCCAAGGTGGTGAGCAATCTGATATAGGCTATACATATACAAAGGAATGTGTCTTTAAGCATACAAGAGCAAAGAAATTGAGATTAGCAACAGTCCAGGATCTTGACATTGAAGAGCAGATTAACATTTACCTTCGTGTGTGTGTAGGATGTAGAGGGGGAAGGAACCTCAGACATCATGAGATCTAACCCTCTTGTTTTACAGAATGAGAAAACTACTCACTCAATATAATAACTTACTCAATAATAACTCACTCAAAGAAAAATAATTCACTCAAAGTTATATAAACAGGAAGTAGCAAAACCAGGATTCAAACCCAGGTCATCTAACCCCAAGTCCAAAGTCTTTCAGCTACATCAGTTGGCCTCTAAAAGGCAGATTGCTCAGAGGCTTGAATAAAGAAAGGTCAAGATGCAGAGGGCTGCTGAAAAGATCATTAACATCAGGTCCCATTTATCAAACCTCATTATTTGAGGGAAGTTTACAATGGAAAAGATCTGTGATGCCGTGGAAGAGTACAGGATTTGGAGTCAGGGGACCTGAGTCTAAACCCTGCCTCTGACACTTGTGACCTATGGGACCTAGCAGAGGCCAATTAACCTGCCTGGGCCTCAGTTTTCTTATTTGACAAATGGGGATTAAAGTATTCTAGAACCTACCTCATGTGATTGTTGTGACGATCAAATGACATAATGTGTAAATCATTTTGCAAATGTTAAAGCACTATAAAAATGTCAATTATTATCATTTTAATGATTACTTCTTTGTTAAATGGTGTTGACAGTAGAACTTGAGGGAGACAAAAATAGAGAGAAAGTAAACCGTTTGCCGTCTTGGTTACATCCTAGTTAACGATATTTGAATTCAGACATTGCTCCCCTCTTCTTGTACCTTTAGGGCCAGACTCAGACTTAAGAGCAGAGCTATTCCAGGAATCGTAAGCTAACAGAGGCTACCTCATGGAGCATGTTTGGTGACAGACCTGGGCCCTGTCAGCTTCTAGCGAAATGTGTTACAGCTGGGGCACTTCCCCTGGAATGTAGTACCTGACCTTTGGGGATGAGATTTGGCACTTAGGAATGACGCAGCACACCCTCAATGTTCCTTTGGCTTCCACACGTCCACCCCACGACAGTGCCCCAGACTGAAGTCAGGGAAGGTTCAGCATTCAGCCAGGAGGTGCTGCTCACTCCGATTTTAAAAGGAGTGAATTGCGTTTCTGGCTCTCTCTTCCTTCTCCCTGAATCAAGTAGCATGGAGCTTTCTCTCCCGGAGACCTAGGGTGAGGAGGGAGAGAAGGTGCCAGAAATGGCCAGGGGCAGACGGGGCTCTTCTTCCAGGTTCAGTAGCCAGGGAGTAAAGTTCTTTACTGTTGGGCACACGTGTTTTTTGGATGTGGCTAAAGTGCAGCCTCAGCCCCTGCCAGAGCACAGATTTTCATAGAAAATAGCCAGAGCCCAGGTCTATCCATCCCTGTGCACCCACTCTTTTAGGGCCAATTTTATTATAGGATCATAGAATGAGAGCAGAATAGGACCTCAGAGACCAGCTTGTGCAATTCTTTTGGTTTTTTTTTTCTTTTTTTTTTTCTTTTTGGCTAGGCAAGGGGGTTAAGCGACTTGCCCAGGTTCACACAGCTAGTAAGTGTCAAGTATCTGAGGCTGGATTTGAACTCAAGTCCTCTTGATTCCAAGGCTGCAGTTCTATCCACTGCACTACCTAGCTGACCCCCAGCTTCTGCAATTCTTTCATTTTACAGATGAGGCCCAAGGAAGTCAAATGACTTATTTAAGGGCACATGGTAGGAAATCCTGACTCCAGAGCCATGCTGTCTTCACTCTGCCATATTTAGACAACTGCCTTCAGTCTGTAGATTCCAAAGCCCTAGGTTAATTTGTCATTTGTACTTGTAGCTGTGACTTTCAGAGGATCTAACTTCTCTGTACTCTGTAAAGCCTAAATGTGTTCTGCCATCCTTGTAGGATGCTTCTGCTTTGGATTAGCACACACTCACTTCGTAGCTCGCTGCTTCTGTAAGGCTTCCTTCTCCTCAAGTTTCACCTGTACAAGCCATGAATGTGAGCTTTTGCTCAGTTGATAAGTTTATAATTTTGATCCCACTTTTGCTTAGAGTGATTCATCATCCTCATGGAGAAGTTTCTTTTGAGTAGGCCTTCTGTTCGTTGAGGCTTTCTCCCGTCTCTCCTCTCAGCTCCCTTTAGCCATTAATCCCCCAAGATCCTCTTGACACATTGAATGACTGGGTCTTAACTATTTTTTGGCCCTTATTGACCAAGAAAATAGGCCAGCCTGAATTTTCTCAGCCCTGTCCTACAGCTGAAGTGCTTTTCTTAGATAGCTGGAAGATCATCAATTTCCCCTTTATACACGCTCTGTTCCAGAAGAACTGCACTAGTAAATGTTTTTCATCTTTGCACAGGCTGTCTGCCTTACTTGGAATGCACTCCTTCCTTACTTCCACACCTTAGAATCCCTAGCTTACTACAAGTTTTGCTCCAAGTATCATTTCTTTTATGGACCCTGTCTTAACCACTCCTTCTGAACCTTTAGCAGTTAGGTGACATGATGGATAGAGCGCCTGAATCAGGATGACGTGAGCTCAAATCTGGCCTTAGACACTTACTGTGTGACCCTGGGCAAGTCACTTAATTTCTGTTTCTCTTAGTTTCCTCATCTGTGAAATGAGGATAAATAATAGTACCTACTTCCCAGGGTTGTTACGAGGATCAAAGGAGTTAATAGTTGTGAAGCACTCAACATAGTGCCCGCCACATCGTAAGCGCTGTATAAGTGTTAGCTATTTTTATTACTGTTGTTGTTGTTATACATAATTTGTATTTCTCCTGGTGCCTTTCCTGGTATCAGGCACAAAATATATGGTTAATAGGAACTTGTCAGAACTAATTTGATTAAATTGTTGCAAATGCATAAATTATAAGGGATTTAAAATTCAGCGAAAGAGTCTGGATCTGTGATTTCATGGATCCAGGGAAATCTTGGTATAGAAATTGTCTCCACCAATGCAGATCTGCAAGAGTGGCACCCTAAATGTAGCTTACAGTCTTAGAGAGCTACCTATAAGTCTAAGATAATGATAATATCACCACCAACAGTAGCAGTAGTAGCAGCAACAGCAGCAGTAGTAGTATGTATAAAGTTCTTTAAAAGTCTACAAAACACTTTACAAATAGTACCTCATTTAAACCTCACACAACCCTCTGTGGTAGGTGCTATTATTATCCCCATCCTACCAATGAGGAAACTGAGGCACAGAGTGCTTAAGTGACTTACCTAGGGTCATATAGCTAGTAAGTACTTGAGGCAGGATTTGAACTCAGATCCTTGTGCCTCCAAGATTTTTTTCTCTCTCCACTATGCCAGTTATCTGCCTCATAGTGACTTTCCCCTGGCCATATACCTAGGATGTGGGAGAGGTGGAGTTTGAAACCAGGCTTTCTGACTCTAAGGCTGGCCCCTATCTACTCTGCCCTGATGCCTCCCACCGTTAAAGGGAGAGGTTTTAAAACTTAGGGGGAAATGAACAAGCTATTTTAAATGTTGGTTATAAGACATTTAAATTCATTTTAAACTTAATGCCCCCCAGAAAACAGTCCTTTGTAAGCATCTGTTTTTCCAGGGCCAGATTGCAAGAAGCCATTATGCTGTCCATACCTGCATTCATTGCTCATGCTTGGAATGAGTGATTGCTGCTTAGCCCCGCAAGAACCATGATTGGAATCAATGGGACTTGGCTTATTAATAATAACACTGTTATTAAGAAAAAATAAGAGTTTTAAAACAAAGAGACTTCAGCTCCCAGTGCCTTTCCCAGGTGCATCAACAGCAAGAATAAAAATCTCATTTGCCTGTGGTTTTTTTTCCTTTCCCAGAATTTAAGATGCCTTGCTGCAGATAAGGTAACAAGGAGACAGAAGTAATGAAGAGAATCATCGATATATTTATTCATATTTCTTTTGTCCTCAGGTGGTTGTTCATTTGATGAGCACTACAGCAGCTGTGGCTACAGCGTTGCTCTGGGGACCAATGGATTTACCTGGGAGCAAATTAATACTTGGGAAAAGCCGATGCTGGATCCTGCTGTGCCCACAGGTATGTATGCGATCAGGCAAAAGGACAAAACCTGTTGTTCATTGTGGTGTGGCTATAGACAGTGTTGCAGGGTATAGGGGCTCTGATAAGAATGGAACCACAGGGAGGGGAAAGGATTTCTGGGGTCATGTATGCCTTCCCCCGGCTCTCTGGCAAAGCTCCAATAATTCTCTATCTATCTTATGTAGTGACGGTTACTCTGACTGGGAATATATGCCAAGGTGAATGCCAGACCTACCATGGTTGTGGGAAGGCCAAAGCAATACTGCCTGGTCCTGGTGTTTTAAATTCTGAACTCAGCCTCTGAGGCTAAAGGCCCAGATGTATGCCTGGCTGTATGCCTGGACTGAGAAGTGCGTCTGGATCATCTCACTGAGCAAAGGTAGCTAAGACGACACTAATGACGATCTTGGAGGATAGCCACTTATTCAAATAAAAGAGGGTTTTGTTTTTGTTTTTGACTACACGTTATTGCTGTAGTAGCATTATATAATAGCATGAGCTCTGGACTTGGGGTTAGAGGACCTGGGTTCAAATCTCAGCTTTGCCACTTATGTACTATCTATAGTACCTTGTACAGCTAGGTGGCATAGTGGATAGGGCGCTGGACCCGGCATCAGCAACACCAGAGTTCCAATCCAGCCTCAGACACTAGTAAGCTGTGTGACCCTGGGCAAATCACTTAACCCTGTTTCCCTCAGTTTTCTCATTTGTAAAATGAGCTGGAGAAGTAAATGGCAAACCACCCCAGTATCTCTGCCAAGAAAACCCCAAGTGGGATTCTGAAGAGTCAACAAAAACAATAGATGGCACCCTAGGCAAGTCACTCTGTGGGCCTCAGTTTCCTTACCTATAAAATAATGAAATTTGACCTCTAATGTCCCTTCCAGTTATGGCCCTAGGACCATCCCTGGTTGTGGAAATTATATGAATTATATTTTAGAAAGGATTTTCTATCTGTCTAATAATAGAATGAGTTGCTTCAGGAGGAAGGGAAATTACCATCCCTGGAAGTGTCCAAGTAGAAACTGCAGGGCACACTGTCAGGGATGCTTTAAAGGAAATGCTTATATTGGATTGGAATTTCCAATAAATAACTGCTATGGTTTCTTCTAGCTCTAGAGTACTATGATTCTATGAGTACAGAGGGAAAAGAGGTCAAAACCATATACATGTTATTTATCATATGTTACAACCCCTTCCTGAAGCATGAATCCCTTCTGTGGTCCTCTCTGTCAAATGGTCATCCAGCCTTTGCTTTGACACTGACAGTGGCAAGTAGCTTACTCCTGAGTGAGATTTACTACTCAAGATTTTGTATTAAATTGCAGGAAAAAGGCAATGTGCATCACCCTCTAGGAGGTGGATGCTTTGCTGATCTTTATTCCTTCAGCTTATGGGAGCAGTCATCCCAGATCTTTCCCTCTCCTTGAAATATCCCCAAGCTTCCCATCAAATTACCCTGTTTTCATCCCCAGTAGCCCACTCCAAAGTACTATTAAGGCCTTCCTGTTGGAGGAACTTACATATCCTCGACTGCTTTTTATGGCATCAGAATTATTTTTAAGCCTTTGTAGAGACCAATGCCATTCCAGTTAGTTTATGTTGGTCTTTATGGTACCACATTCTGAAGGGCATTGTCTGGCATTTTACATCTCATTTTCCTCCTGGTATTGGCATTTGGCTGCTAACTGTTTCCTGCCTGAGGCTCAGTGCAAGGGGGAAGTTTTTGAGGGGGTTGGAACTAGATAAGAGAGGGGTTTCTTAGAACTGATCAGGAATATGATGAGGAAACCAGGTGGAAGGGAAGGCAGTAGGAGAAGCCTGGTGAGTCACCGAAGAAGTGATAACAGGATGCTTCTGTTTTCCTTGGGAATGTTTTCACAACTGCAGGAGGACCAATGTTAGAGGGAGGTGAGAAGTTCTGGAAAGGACACAGGTGATGGTGATTATCAGGAGTCATCTTATTGAGGATTCTTGTAGATATCCCCAAATCTGGTTTTATCAGTGTTCCTGTGATTAAGGCATCTGCCCAAGCCATGGAGAGTGGCAAAGGCTATGAGGACAGGAACCTGAAACCCCAGGGTGTTTGGATACCTATCTGGGCTCCTCCATCTACCCAAGGAAGAATATAGATTTAGAGCTGGAAGGGACCTTAGAAACCTAGCCCTTCATTTTATAGATGAGGAAACTGAGATGCAGAGAAGTTTAGCTACTTGCCTAAGGTCCCACAGATAATAAGTGACAGAGCCAGAATTTGAATCCAGGTCGTCTGACTCTAAACCCACCTTCCATTATATCATGCTGTTCCCAGGTTCCTGTCAGTTGGAAGCCATGGTCAGAGATCAGTAAGACTCCTTTAAATTGAAAGCTGTTGAATAGGGAGTTTAACAAGAAGAGGTAATCATGTCCTAGAGTGACTGTTACAATAATTAGTGCCAAGGACCTTTCCTGGCCCTTAGGCCCTCATTCAGATCCTTAGACAAGAGACAAAATTTCCTTGCCCTGTTTGGCCACTGAGTAATCCAGTTTGCTTGATCACATTACTTCTTTATCATATTGACTGACCCAGGAGAGTAACCTTGAGACTTTAATCCTCACCCGACTCCATTGGTGGTGGGACCCATGTAGAAGAATTTCCATGCTTTGGCAAGGGAAAGGGAGTCAGCGTGGAGTAATTGGGAAGGAGAGTAGTAGAACACAAGAGCAAAGAAATTATAGGAATCTATCCTCTGCCTCCTTTAGGTTTAACTAATAACAACCCCTTGCAGAGAGAATTAATTCTTGATTCCAGCCTTAATTATCTAAGTCCCTTATTATATGAAAGTGACATTTCATAAATAGTGGCTGGTACTAATATGATCTTCTGAGTTTTTGCTAAATAGAGGTATTTGATAACGATCACTAAATTATTCTGTCCTGTGGATCATACCAGCTGGGAATTCTGTTTATGCAAAGAAATCAGAGAATTAATTCAAACTAGTTTGAATTATTTGCTCTTATCAGAAGCAGTGTGTATGGGGGAGGAAGCTTTTTGGTCCCCCTCTGATGAAGTCGGCTTAAATCTCTTCAGGGCCCCCTTCAATATTCAAAATAATTCATTTTTTTAAAGGATATAAGACCTTTTAGAAAATATCTCTACATTCCTCAAAAGGATAAGTGGTCAAATGATATGAGCAGACTTCTCAAAAGAATTACAAATTATCAACAACCTTATGAAAAATTGCTCTGAATCACGCCCAACTAATAAGAGAAATGCAAATCAAAACAACTCTCAGGTTTCATTTCATACCCAGTACATTGACAAAGATGACAAAAGATGAGAGAAAAGCATATTTGTCACAAAGGTTTTGTTTTTATTTTTTTCTTTTCCCATGGAAAGAGAAGTGGGAGGAAAAAAATGCTTGTTAATTGAAAAAAAAATTTAAAAATGAAAAAATAAAATGTATTAGTGTTTTTCACCATAGTAAAAGAGTCAGTGTTGGAAGGACTGTAGGAAGACATGCACAATGCCCACCTGCCTTTGCCCAACTTGGCAAAGTTGGTACTCTCCCTGTCAGCAGTTAAAATGTTCAGGTTTTTTAAATTGATAAATAAATCTTTTTAAAATAAAAATCATTGTTAAAGTTTTGAATTAACTGCAAATTATCTTCAGCTGACTCTTTGGCACTGTTCTCCAACGTGACAGAATCCCATGTAGAGAAACTTCCAGAACCATGCATTGATGAGTCTCTCTCATTGCAATGTACTTGAAATAAACTAATTCTGAGCAGGACCATAGGTTTTTGAGACCTTTGAGATCTGGTCCAGTGCCCTCACTTCACTGATGAGAAAACTGAAGTCCATGGAAATTCAGTGACTCACCCAAGATCACATAGGTACTCAGCAGCAAGACCAGAATATGGGTCTAAGTCTTTTGACATCAAACCCAGGGTTTTCTTTCTAGTCTACCACACTTCACATCCCTCCTTTCTGTAGGTCAGAGTTATTATAAAGTAGGTATTGTGCCTGCCTTTGAAAGGTATCATCAGTCCATGGTGGCCAAAGGTCTAATATATTTGCCAGTCCTCAGGTATTCATGTCAGCATTTCCTGGCTCTCCTTCCAACCGTCATTAGGTTATTTCCTTCTCCATTTGTTTTTTTTTTTAATACTCCATTCCTTCATCTTCATCTTCCTCTTCATGGTCTAATACCTAGTCTGGTTAGAGCTGAAAAATAGGAAATTGATATTTATAGACGAGAAGAGAAACAGCAAAATCTTGGAGTTCAGTATTAAGAGAAGTAGCTTAGAGTGTCGTGAGTCACTAGATAAATGTGCTTTGTGTCTGTGGGTACATGGTCCCTACTAGAAAATTTTCCTCTCCTCATCTAGGGTTTTATCCAAGTTTGGCACCATAAAAACAAATGAATTCATTGAATGAATGAAAAAATATACATATTTGTACACATACATATATATGAATATACAGATATGCTTATATATATACATACATGTATGTATGTATATGTGTATATATATATGTATTTATATACATATGCACACACTGACGCACATACATATATCTCCCTGGGCTGAATGTAAGATGATATTTAACACAGATAAAGGTATTATCACACTTGGATTAAATTCAACAAGATGAGCATGACTAGACAGTAGTTTGTCTAAAAAAGATCTGGGGGTTTTAGTGGGTTGTAAACTTAATATGATTTAAAGTAATATAGGGGAGAAAAGGGAACGCACATTTATATAATGCCCTACTATGTGCCAGACACTGTCCTAACCACTTTCCACAAATATCATCTCATTTGATCCTCATAACAACTGTGTGAGGTAGATACTATCATTATCCACATTTTACAGTTGAGGATACTGAGGTGAACAGAGGTTGTGAATTGTCCAGGGCCACACAGATAGTAAGTATTTGAACTCAGGTGTTCCTGACTCTAGGCCCAGCACTGATTCATTCCCCCCCACCAACTCCTCCCCTCCCAGCCTTTC